CTGGCTTACTTCACTTAAAATGACAATCTCCAGGTCCATCCATGTTGCTGCAAATTTCATTCTTTTTATGGCTAAGTAGTATTCCATTGTATATCTAAAAAATTAGGAGTTATAAAAATCAAGCTAGCAAACTGTTAAATAAAATATGTCCTATCTGCCTACCTTCAAACACACACACACACACACCCCATCATAATAACCAGGAATGCTAAGTTAAATTTAGAATCCTTAGACTATCCAGGTCCCTTCTTGCCAACCCAGCTAAGTCCCACAGTGCAAGAAGACTCACAATTGCATGTGTGAACACCCAGGACTTCTTAATTCTATCCAGACCCCCTACTAAGAGCCATTCATTAGGCCAAAGGGTGCACACCAGCAGCATGCTCTGCCTGCTGATGGGAGGATGCACCTGGGACAAAGGGCTGCACAAGCCCTAGAAGCAGGCTGAGGCCATCTAGGCATCCCAGGTGCTAGAGGAGGGCTGACGCAGGTGCATGAGCCCCAAATGCACACATCCCTTTGGCCCCGTGGACTCCTTGCCTTGTGGAAAGCCCGCAGCCAAAGGGGACCAGCATGAAAGACAAGGTCAGGGCCTCTCTTCCAAATCTAAGGGCAGAACTAGGGACAAGAGTGCCCTATGTCCCAGTGTTCGCTTTTCCATCCACTGAACCCTACCAAATTAAAGTAAGCGGTGATGTTTACCTTACACTTTACAGTTTACAAGCATCTTCCCACAGGGTGCTTTTCAATCCTCACAATTTTGTACAATCACTATCATACCATTTGATAGATGAGAATACTGAGCCAAAAGTGACTCCCTGCCATCACACAGTGAAAAAAACGAGTAATGTTAGGTCTCCAGTGGAAGGCTTGCCTCCAAATTTCAAAAGTCGTGTTTTTTCCACTACTCAACACTGCCACACATCCCGCAGCTTTCTAGAGAACTGATGGGGGCTAAAAAAGAAAAGTGTAAACACACGGAAATTGTAAATACGTGGCTGAAACACTTTAGGAAAAGACCTGAGGCAGGGAAGGGAAACAACACCAAATACAGATCAGTTTCTGGGAAAAAAGCTGGACCCAAAGCAAAAATCATCACTGGGACAAAGAACGCTATGTAGGAGCAGCAGCCCTAGCTGAGCCTTGGGGGCTCCATTCCCACCCCAAACCACAAAATGAGGGCCTTCAGCACATTGAAGCAATCTCCACCCCAATTCCACACCAATTACATGGGGGGCATGCTCCACAGCCCTCCCCCTCTCCACCACCCCACCAAAAATACTTTATTAATGAGAAGGCAGCATAAAGCCACGGGACTGTATCTGCTCAGGGGCAATCCAGACAGCAGCCTGGCACCAGCCCCAGCCAACACCAGACCCTCCTCCAGCGAGGACCCACTAGGCTGTGCCGCCCTCTAATTACCAAGTGCCTGGCTCAGGGCCTGGCCAGTTATTTAAAGAACTAGCGCCCGCCCCTTGCACAGATATCTGTGAGGCCGGGGCTGCAGGCACTGTCTGCTGAGAGCCAGCTGCCTGAAGCGGCTGTCTTCTCACTCCTGTATCCCAGGACCCCTCCCACTGCCTCTGTGCCCCAGGCTCCCGGGCATCATGTCTCTGGCACACACAGCTGCAGAGTACATGCTCTCGGATGCCCTGCTGCCCGACCGCAGGGGCCCACGTCTCAAAGGACTGCGCCTGGAACTTCCCCTGGACCGCATGGTCAAGTTCGTAGCCGTGGGCTTCCCCTTGTTACTGATGTCGCTGGCATTTGCCCAGGAGTTCTCCTCCGGTAAGTGGCTTCTAGACCCAGTGTGCAAGAGAGACTCTGCTTGGTTTCGCTGTTTGTGTGAGCTCTGAAGTGGGACAGCTCCCTCCCTGTCTCGACTGCATAGCTTGAGCCAGGCATCACCCAAAAGGCAGACCAGGCATGAGTTTGGGGCACCAGGAAAACAGAGGTACCAAAAAACTTTGAAAATCATTTCCAAAATTTTGCCATTAAAAATATTTAGTTTAACTTGAGGATTCACATATTTTATGTCACTGCAATCATTAAACTTTTATTTTGAATTTCATATGGAGGAAAGAGATTGGGATCCTGTAATCTTCTCAGGACCTGGGACCTCTAAAGGTCTTACTTAGCCATGCGTTAGACAAGTCTCATCTTCCCGGAAACTTCCCACTCCCCAGCTTCAGGATTACCCACTTAAGAACATATGTTAAGTGTCTGATAGAACCTGGCACATCATAGGTGCTGAATAAATCTACTCCTTCCTCTCCATGAACCCCAGCCACATACACAAACATTAACAAACACATACGTATCGTGCTCTGGGTGCTAGATTAACTCAGCAAATCTGCCATCTCTATTAAAAAGAATTTAGACCTCCCGAGAATTGGAATTTCTGGCTTTCTGTTCTGGCTGTGTGATGAGCTTACTACCTAGCCCAAGGAGGTGTGTCAACCTCCCACTGCCTCTTCCTTCACCCACAGGTGGGGAGAAGTCTTGGTTCCCACTTCTGCCTCTTTCTAGAGAGTGATGGGAAAATCAAAAGCAGAGACCCTTCCTCCAAACCCACTCTCCTTCCAGCCCCACTTGCCCCGCCCCCTTTCTTGTTCTTGATTTGGGCTCAGAAGTCCAGGAAATTTATCCTCTAAATGTTAGAACCTTAAAGAGGTCAGCTTTCTCAGGAAGGAGACATCACCACCAAACTGCAAGCCCTCTGGTGCCAAAATGCAGGAAGGCGAGGAGCCCCTGCTGCTTGCAGGTCTGGGAGTCCAGCGGGAGCTCGGAGAGAAAAGACCTGCCCCCAGACATCGAAGGCGAGTCAGTGCGCTGGCAGGCCTGGGCCAGCAGTCCTACAGTGATGGTGAAATGGCAGTGCCAAACCCAGAAAGCTGGGATCCGGGAAGAAGAAAGCGCCTGCCAGACACAGAAAGTGGCAGAGTGGCGGAGGTGACCCCGGAAAGCTCTTAGCTGACTGTCCCCTGGATTCCCACTTCCCAACCCCAACTCAGGGCTGCCTCAATGCTCATTCCTGTTCCAGGGTCTCCCATCAGCTGCTTCTGTCCCAGCAACTTCAGCATCCGGCAGGCTGCCTACGTGGACAGTTCCTGCTGGGACTCGCTGGTTCACCATGAGCAGGAGGAGTCTGGCCAGTACAAGACCAAATCCCTCTGGCCTCACAAGGTAAAGTGAGCCGCGCTCCATCAGGCTGGCTTCATGGCTGAGTGGAGGGGACGGAACTGCACCGTTAGACTCTCTCCTGCCTCTCCACCACCTGCCCCTGCCCTTTCATGTTGGTCATGGACTTTCACGTTTCAGACATTCTTCAAATATCTGGTGATAGTCAATGGCCCACTTTTATCTGATTGGAAGTTTTGTGCCTGGGGTGAGGCTGTCCATTTAAGGTGATCCCTTTGGGCCATTTCACTGTGGAAACCTCAGATATCAGTATCTGAAATCCTTTCTCTGAAGCTGGTCAGTTTTCCCAAGAAGAATCATTCAATCTCTAATTTGTGCAGAGAGGGCAGGGGACAGCTGGTATCCAGTTCAGCTGCCAACCCTTTGGGAACTCAGCTGCAGGTCTCAGCAGTCAATATTCATACAACTCATCCCCATTCTCAGTATGGTCCCTCTGCTCTCAATGGATCTCTCTGGTTGGATATTTCCAAAGAATAAACCACGAGCCTTCTGCTAGGGGAGGAAGACGGTGGTTGACTTGTACAAAAACGTGTTACAGCTCAGTGTTATAGTTTAGTGTTACAGCTCAGTTGTGACAGCAACTTGGATCTGGGCGAGAGACCAAGCAGCACTCTGAGAGTTGGAGAACTCAGGTTTGTTACGCCAGTGAGCCCAGAGGAGTTAACGTTTTAAGCTCTGGATTCCGTCTGTAGGCTTACATAGGCTTTTATAGGCTGCTAGTTTACACTTTGTAACATCATATGCAAATAAGGTATAACAAAAGTTGACTAATTAGGAACAAGTTTTGTAGAAATGGACCAATCAGGAGGGAGAGAAATGACCAATCAGGAGTGAGGGAAATGGACCAATTAGGAATGAAAGAAAACCAATCAGGAGTGAAGGAAATGACCAATCAGGAGTTAGCTTAGGGAACCAATAGAATTTTAGGGGTAAGTTCCACTTTCCTAGAATTAAGGCATTTCAGAGGCAAAAAGTGAGAGAGAGCCCCTGGGCCAGGGAACCGGATGGTGCTGGCAGGAGAGTAATGGCCCTGCCCCGGTGTCCTGCGGTCTTTTTTATGGGACTTCCCACCTCAGACTGAGTGTATTATCCTTCAGAAAGGATCTGTGGGTTTGTTTTGTCAAGATTCCTGTTTCCATCCCCATCTGCACCCCTACTTTCAGACACACCTGGTATCTCCAGTTCCTGAGTCATTCTGATTTCATGGTGAAAAGCAGCTTGGCTGCACCCACATCAACTCCCCATCCTCTCCACAGCCTGGTATCTTCTATCACGCAACTGCTTCCCAGTTTTCAACACTCTGTTGCTCTTGTCTCCTCTCCCATTTTCTTTGTCCTTGTAGGATTATGTCTTTTTGGTCCCTGAATCGTCATTCTAGTGGGGTTTCATGAGGGAGCAGAAGTAACATACATGCGCAATTCACAATTTTAATCAGAAGTCACTCATACCATTTTCTAGTTATGACAATTGACAGGGCCTCAACGTGCCACAGTTCTAAGACCCAGACAACACCAGAGACTTAATGGAAAGAGGTGTCTGTCCGTGGAAGTGTTCAAGCAGGATCTAGATGGCAGCAAGTTCAAGGCACTGCAGAGGGGATTCCTGTGTCAGAAAAGAGTCAAATTGTCTGATCATCAGGGTCACCTGTGAGCTCTTTAAGCCCAGCTCTGGCTCCACTCCAAACCTACTGAAACAGAAGGTCTAGGGTGAAGAGTTCATTTTCAAGAGATGTCATTTCTTAGACAGGAGTGGAAGGGTTCTGATTTTCTCTCGTGGCCTAGAATACCTTCCCTAACCTGTCACTCCTGTTTAGCTCAGATATGCGCGCGCGCACACACACACGCAGACAACCTTTCTCTGCCTAGATGCACCAAATAGCCCCCCTCCCTCTGTTTCTTCAAACTCTCCTCTAAGATAAAAGGCATCTCTGGCTCAGGAGAAGCTATAGTCGAGTATTTGTTAAGGGAATAAGACCTCAAGTCAGACTGCCTGGTTCCAGCCCTGTCCCCTCGCCTCCTAGCTGCGTAACCCTGCACGGGTTACTTCACATTTTCATGCTTCAGTTTCTTTGTCTGTAAAATAGAGATACCAAAAGTACCCACCTGATGGCCCCCTTGTGAAGATGGAATAAATAATGCACGTTGAGCGCGCAGCCAAATGTAGCTTAAATAAGCCTCTATAAGTAGAGTTTTTACTGTGAGCAAAATAGTGGGCCCACCCTGTTAGGTGTGCTCAGTGTGACAAGGAAAAGTCCCTTATCTCAGGTAGCAAATTATATAGTTGAGGATCCTAGACTTCTGCTTACCTCGGTGTCAGGTTATACACGTACAGACCAGCAACAGCTCCAAAGGAGTCCAAGACAGTGCCTGGTGAGGTAGTTTGGCCTTACCAAGAATCCAGAGATGAGAAAAGACCACTGCACACGGGAGGAGGTGGGGAAGGCCACGTGGAGGAAATAGGACCAGACTCCTCTCAGCAGTGTGGGGGCTCCTGGCAGGACTTTGAATGCTAATGGGTTCTGGATCAGTCCCAGAAAGAAAAGTGGAAGGTTGAGAATGAAGATGCTCCCCACTAAGATGCCATGACTACTGTTGGCCATGATTTCCAGTTAGCTCCCCAGCCTAACCTGCATGGGGAAGGGGAAGCTAGCACCCTCTCTCTCTCCCTCCCCCTCCTCCCTCCCTCTCTCTATCTCTCTCTCCCTCTCTCTATCTCTCTCCCTCTCTGTCTCTTTCTGTCTCCCCTGCCCCCACTCTCTCTCTCTCTCCTTGCCACCTCTCTCTCTCCACCTCTGCCTCCCCCTTCCAAGGCAGAAACCAGGGAACAAGAGCCCCTCACTCAGCACTCTCTCCACAAGGTGTCGGCCCCCTGGCCCCGTCCTCAGCTCGCTCTCGCCCTGCAGGCCCTCCCCTACTCCCTGCTGGCCCTGGCCGTGGCCATGTACCTGCCCGTCCTGCTATGGCAGTATGCAGCTGTGCCTGCCCTCAGCTCGGACCTGCTGGTCATCATTAGCGAACTGGACAAGTCCTACAATCGCTCCATCCGCCTGGTGCAGCACATGCTGAAGATCCAGCAGAAGAGCTCGGACCCCCATGTGCTCTGGGATGAGCTGGAGAAGTGAGTTGTTTCTTGCACTCCTTTCTGAAAGACTCAGTCAGACATCAAAGTGATATCTCTGCAGAGTAATCTTTAAACTCTCCTCTGTACCACCCGTCTCAAGATTTCAAAGTGCTTAACACCTCATCTCATTAACCTTCCATCATTTCTGTACAGGGAGAGGAAAAGGACTCTGCCTCCAGTTGACAGGGAACCCACTCCGTCACAAAGGGGTTAATCTCTGAACGGCCACTTTTTCAGAACCTCATCTAGCTCTCCCCAAGCCTACAGAAAACATTTCTAAAGTCTCCCAAATATGTTTCCCAGGCCTTCCACACACTGTCATCAACTACTTGTTCAAACTTCTCTCTAACTAGCAAGGGATGGACACCTTCCCCTCCACCTCAGCAGCCGCCTTCTTTCCTCCTGAGCAAGTGGTTCATTTATTTAAGGATTGAGCTGTCATTTCCCAGCACCCGGCACTGCTCTGGGTGCTTTGGATATGTGTCTGTGTCTGTGTGTCTTTGTGTGTCTGTGTATCTGTGTGTGTCTGTGTATGTCTGTCTGTGTCTGTGTGTGTCTGTGTGTATGTCTGTGTGTGTCTGTGTCTGTGTGTGTCTATGTGTGTGTGTGTGTGTCTGTGTGTGTGTTGTGTTGTGTGTCTGTGTGTGTGTGTCTGTCTGTGTGTCTGTTGGGGGTGGGGGCACTTATATTCCATTGAGGGAATACAGACAATGAATAAGCAGGACACATCAGTGAATCACACGGTAGAAGGAAAGTGGCAGGAAGAAAAGAAAGGCAGGAAGGGGCTCGGGAGAGCTGGGAGGTGGGGGGGGGTGCAGTTCTAAATAGGGGGGCCAGGGCAGGCCCCTCAGAGCACAGCTGAGCTAAGATGTGAATCCATATTCGGCCGCAAGTTTGTGCACATCTCTATCCTCTGGAAACAGCTCTCTCCTGTCTGTCCTTCTGAAGCCTGCCTACGTTTTGAAGGCCAACCGGAGACAACACTCTCCGCAGAGGTTTCTGAGCACCCCGGCCCACACTGTCACGTGTCTCTCCTAACCTTCACAACTACCATGGTTTGTAGCCATCATTTTAGCAACAAATCAAGTACTGCTTTTACTTGACATCTGCATGTCTCATCTGCCCCTTCCCCGCAAGCCAGGCTGTAAGCTTCTCCAGAGCAGAGACTGGCTTCCGTGTACCTGAACCCCACGGCTCTCAACAAATACCTGTTTGCACCATTTGGTTTCATAAAATGAATGAACTGGCCGAAAAATCATACACAAAATAAGCAGACTGAGAACCAGAATGTGGTTACTTACACTCCCAGTCCAGCGCTAATTTTAAAAGCCTCAACGCTTCCTAAGAATCCTGCTTCAGCCTGGAGAGTCAGTCTGCCTTGCTGGGCAGACATCCAGTGTGACCACTCATTGATCATTCACTGGGTTTACTGCGCTGCACTCGTTTCTTGGAGAATGAAGATGCACTCGCACACCTCTTTCGGGGGAGACGCGTGGTTATGCGCAAAGAAGGCAGACAGTTATGTGAGCCAAGAGTGCCGTGTTGGATGCACAGATTCTGCTACCTCCTCACATGGCTCTCTCAGGATGTGGTTCTAAATGGTCCCTCCTAATCTTGCCTCCTTTCTTCCTCTGCCCAGGGCTCGGAAAGAACGATACTTTGAATTCCCCTTGCTAGAGCGGTACCTGGCCTGTAAGCAGCGCTCACATTCACTAGTGGCTGCCTACCTCCTGAGGAACTCTCTCTTGCTCCTCTTCACCTCAGCCACCTACCTGTACCTTGGCCACTTCCACCTGGATGTCTTCTTCCAAGAGGAATTCAGCTGTTCCATCAAGACAGGGCTGCTAAGCGATGAGACCCACATCCCTGACCTGATCACATGCAGGCTGACCTCCTTGTCTGTCTTCCAGATTGTGAGTCTCTCCAGCATAGCAGTGTACACCCTGTTGGTTCCAGTGATAATATACAACCTCACACGGCTCTGTCGGTGGGACAAGCGGCTCCTGTCCATCTATGAGATGCTCCCCGCTTTTGATCTCCTCAGCAGAAAGATGCTAGGATGTCCCATCAATGACCTCAATGTGATCCTTCTTTTCCTCCGAGCCAACATCTCTGAGCTCATCTCTTTTAGCTGGTTGAGTGTCTTAAGTGCACTGAAGGACACAGACACCCAGAAGCACAACATTGACACAGTGGTTGATTTCATGACTTTATTGGCTGGCTTAGAACCCTCCAGACCTAAACAGCTCACCCACGGGATATGTGATGAAAACCCATAGTTAAGAAACCATGAAGCAAAAAGTTTTATGGAAAGTAAAAATCTCTCCCCTTTTCCACAAGCCTCACACACTAATATACAGAAACACCCACTTTAGGATTGCTAAGCTTGGATTTAGCTGAATCGTACATCCTGTATTATGTTATCCCAAAGGTGAGATGACATAATCAATATATGGAAACAAATCTGAAAGTTGGGGCTGATGTGTCAAAAAACTAAAAAACTAGGTCTAGAGCATAAAATGAAGACAGGGGAAAAAAACTAAAACTAAAGTTAAAGCCTAGACATTGCACAGACGAAGAAGTTTCTACAGGCTCTTTACAGAGGCAGGGTCTTCTCACTGTATTTACTCTGTGGCCTTCCTAGGATACACAGGTTACCCCAGAGAGCAAGCTGGGTAATGTGGTAAGAGAATAAAGGTATAAAATCCCTGATAACCCTTTGGTGTGGCCTCAAATCCTAGGAATTTTCCCAGCTTGTTTTGTGGAAGTCACCAACCTTGCGCAGGGACTCTGTGGCCTGCCAAGTGGGCCAGGAGCTACTGATGGCAAGAGCTTGTAATCTGCTCTTGGGGCCTAAGGACAGCGTAGAACAAGGCCAGGGCTGTTTGTCAGCTGTGAGTGGAGCCTTGAGGTGTTCAGATATGCTTTTTCATCATCTAAACCAGGGACTCACTTCCCCAAGGGCTGGGATTATGGGCTGCAGACTCCTTCACAATTCTTAATGGGTCCAGAGGTGCTTTTTTTAAAAAAAAAAAATACATTGAGGGAGGGGGGGTTGAGGGGAGGTAATTAGTTTTATTTATTTATTTTTTAAATGGAGGCACTGGGGATTGAACCCAGGACCGCATGCACGCTAAGCATGTGCTCTACCACTGAGCTGTACCCTCCCCACCCCCCATGCCTTTAACAGCCCAGGGGATGCTCTACCTCCACTTACAGCCAGTCAGCAGTAGTGACTACTCAGACCTAAGCAGGACAGTCAGAAAGTGCTGCTGGGCTCCAGCTCTCCCTTCTCTGATTCATTGCCCCATCTTACCTCCTAACTCCCATTCCTATGCCCTGATTTAATGGAACCCTGATCTGACTGCAAAGGCCACGCTCAGCCCCCAGTGCTGTGCTGTCTCTCGTTGGCTATTTCTTTCTGGTGCTTCATGTTACGTATTTCTTCAGGGAATTTTTACCTAGGTCATTTAGACCCTTCTTCATATAGGTAAGTAGAAAAGTTACGTTGCTTCTAACAAATTCAGATAAGTTTACCTAAAACAAGTAAAGGGGGTGATATACGGACATTCATCAATGCTTCCTGTTGTCACTGGGTTAAAACCTAACTTCAGTTGGTACACAAGACCCTTCACAGTCCAAATCCTGCCTGCTCCTTCGGCCTCTCCTCTCGCCTCCCTCCACAGTCACCTTTCACTCTAATCCACAACTCACAGTTCTTGTGTTTCTCACGATGCTGGGCCTGTGACAGTGCTGTCCCCACTGCCCACGGTGCCCTCCTCTGTTCTTCGCTGGGCCGCTCAGCCCCTCTCCGCCTCGAGACTCTGCTAACTCTCGAAATCCTTCCCCATTAGCTCTCCTCCAAAGTCCGCTTCAAGAAGCTTTCCCAGTCTCCCTCCTTTCCTAACTGGGTGCTTTCATATCATCCAATACCTACCTCTGAGATAAAACTTATTACACTGTAGTAATATAGCTTTATAGTATTTGTCTTTCCCTCTTAAATAAGTTTCCTAAAGGTTGTATCATCCTTGTTACCAAATAAATATTCTTCTGAATATGTAATTGACGGAATGAGTTGAAGAACATTACAGTATCTGGAGCACACAGACCCAACTACTACATAATCCTGTACTGAAAAGGCTTTGTGCACAAAAATGTACTTCACAGCAATGGATGACCAGAAAATCAAACATGGAAATGATTATGTAAAATTATTCTGTCATAACTGGAATATTAAGCAGCCATCTAAAATTGCATTTATAAAGAAATCACAGTAACTTTACAAAATGGCTATAATAAAGTGAACAAAAAAACAAAAGATTATATTCGGTATGAGCTAACCTATATAAAAATGCATTAAAATATTAAACATACAAACTACTATATATGAAATAGATAAGCAACAAGGGTATATTGTATAGCACAGTGAATTATAGCCATTATCTTGTAATAAATTTAATGGAGAATAATCTGGAAAAATACTGAATCACCATGCTGTACACCTGAAACTAATATAATATTCTAAATCAACTATACTTCAATAAAAAATTAAACATACATGTTAAAAGTGATTCACTTCATGTGGCAGCACTATATAGATTTTTAAAAATCTTCTTTGTACTGTATTTTCTAAATTTTGCATGAAATGTTTTATAAATTATAAGAAAATGTTTCTAATGAAGAAGAAACAATAAACATGTTAATGCAAATTCCACTAAAATCCATTGGCCAGAGCAGTTTGCAAACGAAGACAAATGATAGTACTTCTCTCCCACTAGGTATGATACATGTGTGTGAAGAATACTGAAAATAAAGATCACAAAGCCTGCATGGACGAAAAACAGCTGGACAGCAAATAAATCAGGCAGTTAGCAAATAGTGTTTAAAAAAAAAAAAAGAAGAGGAAGAAAAGAAAGAAAATCTGTTCCTGTCAGTCAGAATTACCTGTTTTCATGTTCCAAGGTTAAGTGCCAAGCTACAGCATAAAAGGCTTGAGTATGGGTATTTTGTAGGCTGAGAGTGTTCCTGGCAATTGCCAAAAATGAATCGAGTATGTTTGTAAAAGCACACTGGAACCATGAGGAACCGCTCTTTTAAAACCTAGCCATGTCTAACAAGGCAGCTTACAAAACGGATGGACTTAAAAGGACTTTCATAAGCCTTCTCTTTGTGTTTAAACCATTTTGTCAAGATTCTTGTCACTATTCTTAAAAATTTCAGAAATTCAGTACCTGATCTACCAATTCTAAACCTCTTTTTTTAAATTCTGATAGTTTCTTATTTTAGCTTAGCTTTAAGATTTTTCTCCAGTAATTTAATGAACTAACTTTAACTCTGGACGTATTTTCCTTAACTTCCATATACAATTCTAGAAGTCTAAATTTTGAGTCTGTGTAACAGGAATTATGTATCAGTGGAGTACCTTTCAAACTCTTAGTCACGTCCATTACTCTAAAGAGTACGTTCAGTTTTGAGAGGAAAAACCTTTGACCCAGCGGCTCACTCAGCTAGCTAGTGGCATTGCTGGAAGAGGAATGAGAACCTCAAGACTTCTGCCTTCCAGCGTGGCGCAGTTACCAATACCACTTCCTAAAGAATTGTCTTTCCTACTTATTTGATGATTTTAGACAGAACTTGTTTACAAAATTACAGCTATCTAAATGTAAGTGCAGTCACATAAACATACTTTCGGTTTCATCAGGCGAATTATTTACTGAGTACCTACTTAAATGCAAGCATGTTATTAAAACTGCTGGTTAAATCTTATCTTCCCTACTAGACTCTCTTCTGAGAGTAGAGGTCTTTTTTCTAATCACCACTGTAATGCCAGCTCCCAGTAGAACCCAGGGTAACAGGCCCTCGGGTTCTATAAAGGAGGGGAGCAAGGAAAACCGCAGTCTCAGCCGTTGAACACCACTGTTCAAGTGCGTCGCACAATCGGGGACGGCCAGTCTCTAGCAAGTGTGAAAAGGTGGCGCAGACACGAAGTGGGCTTGGGGAGCGTGTACGAGATTGGCGTTCGGAAGACTTCTGTAGTTTGTCCTCAGCTCAACGATAACGCGCGCGCACACGCGAGTCACAGTGGGTCGCTTCCGGCGGCCGGCCCTCCTCTCCGGGACCAGCACTCGCCTCCCGCCCCGCGAGCCGAGGACCCGCCCCGCGAGCCGAGGACCCGCCCCGCGAGCCTGAGAGCACGCGACACACGGAGAGG